ACCAGGTCTGCACTTTCACTGTGCACAGTCCTCTGGGAGAGCACTGCTGATGAGGGGCTGTATAAATAACACGGGCTTCAGCTAAATGTGAGTCTGGATCCTCAGTCTACGTTTCCACATCACAGCCGCATGGAAATTATATAATTATATATATATATGTTGATGCTAACCTTTTAGCTATTTGATGTTGTTGACAAACCTTCACCTATCACTAACCCTTTGATTCGATCAGCCACCTCCATTTTTTTAATCTCCGTTTTAGCAAACTTTTTATTTTTTGTCAAACCATCAGCTCTACATGACATATTTTTCTAAACTGTTGATGGGATTTTGGACATCTTATGGTTTAGTGGCATAGCATGGCACCTCATAACTTCATTTCTTTCTGTATTTGTCAGCAGCATGCTTGAATGTACATATCGTATAACCAAAAGCAAACGGCCCGACAGTGTACACCCAAATGAATTACCTGTCCCGCTGGATTATAGGTCTATAATGTAATTAAATGACATGTATTTGCTGCTTTACAACAATCACTCATGTTCACCTGTTCAAAGTGAATGAACTGAAAGTTCTCTGGTGTCTCTGGGGAAATCGCTCCTCTCTCTGCAGCCTCCTTCCACCCACGGAGAGTTCAGAGTCAGGGGTCAGCTCCTTCACTCAGTATGAAGGGTGGATTTGTGTCAGCCATTTCTACCGTCTAATGGGAGGATTGTGAGGTAATCATCGGGGTCAGCTGCAGAGCAGGACCCTTTTGATGATGCTGTTCCAATGGAGGGATTTCCCTTCCAGGCTTCTCAGCTTCAGTGATGTCCCATTTTTATCAACACATTATCTGTAATCATTTTGGATAAGGGTTTATCTCTGATGAAAAGATTTACCACAATTACATCTTTATCTTCTCTTTCATTATCAAGGACTTCCACCGTGTGGAGTGTGCGGTTGGTGTTTGATTAATGATCACTGTCTCCACAGCTGAGGAACTCCCGGCCGTAGTGTCTTTGCTTCATCACTTTGGACCTCACAGTGATGATTATAGGATAACCTCGTGCATGGTAATTAATCAGCACAGAAGAAGCTCATTCTCTCAGACGGGATGTGACAGCAGCCGGGATCAGTGTGAGGATTATAAGTGCGTGATACCACCCTCTGGATGTCCCTGAGGCCTGGCACCAATTCAAGGGAAATTGATAGAGGTTGCAGGTTTTTACACCAGCACTTGCTTATGGCTCGTCAGTTATATGTGAACACAGCTTTGGAGATGTCAACACAACACCAAGGTCGAGTTTTGCTCTTCAGTCGGGCCCTTTATAGAGAAAAGGTCAAAAATATAAAGAGAAAACAGAGGCACTCATACATCATGATGTTCCACCCTGTGAGTTAGAAAACAAATTCATCACCAGTTTGCCCTTTACTATGACTGGTGATCATTTTTCTCATTATAATTTTAATTTACTTGTAATTGCATTCATCTTTACCTAACAAATTCAGCAGCAAAACGTAAGAAACTGATGAAGCACAATCCGAGGATGTCGACCAGAATTTAAATGTAAACAGACGTAAAAAGACTGTCCAAAAAAAGATTTCATTATTGCAGTCATTGACTCATCAGAAAGATTTCATTATTGCAGTCATTGACTAATCAGCTGACTCTGACACTGGTTGGCCAATGCCATGTGCACAACATCCCCCGCAGTTACACCACAAACTCAGACAAAGGATAAACTTTCCTACTTTTTTGTTGAAAAGGACAAATACCAAGTCACAGTCTCAAATATCTCCTGAAATAGTTTATTGACTTGCTGTACATTCCCGAGGGTTAGCGTGATTTATTAAATGAAGAGAATAAAAATGAAAAAGTTCTTTTGGTTGAATCAGTGTAACTAAAATACTGAAAATGTTTCTCATATTGCCAACCTCCCCCCAAAAAAACCCTTTCACCCTGGCAGGTCTGCTAGCTGAGATGAATGGGCAGCATGCTGCTGCATTGATCATCTCACAGCCATAAATGACTGCTGCTGAACGGACAGGACGAAGGAAGAGAAGGTGGTCTATTGTTCTGTTTGGACTGTGAAGGAACATTGGCCCACACCGCAGATCTTTGCATAGCAAAATAAAATGCAACGAACATCGCAGTTGACAGTAAGCCACCTTTCTTTTATGTGATTTTCTTTTAAATTGCGTCATACTTCTTCAGCTGGCCGTTCGATTTACTCAATACTGTCCTGTCTTGCGCTGTTTATTGAAGATGCACAGAAGAAAATCAACTGCAATTTGCTCTGAATTATCATACTTTCACAGTCGTACTTTACACTCGTGCGACACTTGCTGGTATACTGTGAAAATGAATACAACAACCGTGCAGTATTCAGTAGCGTTTACCACAGGGCTGCTGCTCTGGCCTGTGTATTTTTTTTAGCTAAATGTTTCAGCTGTTCGATTTGGCCGCACTCCACCAGAGGGTTGTTAAAAACAGGATTGGGTCAGGGTGGCGTACATTCTGGACTGCTCACTAATATATCCCAGGGCCACATAGTTATACACACAGGCAGACACACTCATAGTTAAAGTGATGATCAATTTATAGTGGCCAATTAACCCAAACCTGTGGGTTTTTTTCTTCTTGGACTGTAAGGAGGGACTGAAATCCTCGAAGACGCTCCGTCTTCAAATGTTGAAATGTGCTAAAAAAATCAATTGATTAAGTAGCAGGGAGTTTGGATATGTATATGTTTTATATATAGTGAGAATTGAGCTGCAAGATTTAGGGTTGTTTAAGAGTAAGACGAAAATGGTGTGCAAGAAATAACATGTCCGCCTCCCTCTAAGATAGGGAGGAAAAATCATCCCACACAACAATACAAACATCCAGACTTCTGCCTTACTGACCCCACACATCATATTTGGAGAGTTACTATGGCCACGAATCACGATCCACCTCACACAATAGCTACATTTATTTTTCTTATTTCTTGGTTCTAGTTAATGAGAACATACAGTATGAGCTGCAAAAATAACCACAACTGAGACATAAGCTATTAAAAAAGCCCACACAATGCTGCACAGTTGGGTGGAAAATGACCAATTTGCTTCACCAGGTTAAACTGCTGCTCCTCAGGTCCAGGTTGTCTGCAGGCTGCTCCCACAGAGCAGGTCTGCTGTAATTAGACTGCCTGCTATCTTTCTCCTGCACTGGTCTAATTACAGGAGCATGAGAGCAGTCTCCCTCGTCTGCATCCCATGTCTTATACAGTCAACTGGCCCAGAGCCAGACCTATCACATGACCCATGCACCACACCTCAGCTTCTCACTCAGTCTTGTTGACTGCGTCTCGTGATTTGATCCTTTAGTTCTGCAAGAGTCTCATTTCTTCCAACTGGTCTGAAAAAGACCTCACAGCAGCAAAACAGGAACACCTGCACCGAGTCCTGCACACTGGTGACAGAAGCTGGTTAGGCTGCTTCATGAATCGGGTGGATTTTTATCCATTTTCTTAATCATTTTCTCAAATATTTCACCATAATGTTTGGTGAATATAACTTAATTATGCATTTTTACTACCTGTTGTCTTCAGCACTCTTAATAATGGATTTGATTTTTTTCATTTATGTTTATTTATATATTGAACCCACAGACTGTACAATGGTTTAACAGTATTAGCTGACTGGACTGGTTGAGGGGATACACTTGATGTTTAACAGTGACTACAGTGTTTGGTTTTAATAATAATATTTAAACGACATGATATATCTTTTTTATTAACATTTCTATAGTAATGTGGCCATAAAATGCTGATCAGAAACCTTCCCTGCTGATTAGAATAACATCATGTTTTACTTTACTATCTTCTTGTTGCTGTTGATCATGTAGCTGTAGCCAAAATAATACATTTCTTTTGGTGCACATTTTGGAACACTCTGGTAAATATTTAATTTTTATGTATTATTTTCAACACTGTGTTATATATGTATACATCAGTGGTTTCCAAAGATTTTTACGCTGCAGTAACACAGTGTCTCCAACAGGACGTACCTTGTTCAGCTAGGCACATTCAAGACAGCAGTGAAGCTCAGCCTCCTCTAAAACTTCATTAAATAAATCACAATCAGCTGTTAATACCAGACCCTCTGATGTGGTTTTCTTTTCAAACATTCCTGTGGAGATTAAACCTCATTGAAGCTGTGCTGGGACATCACGGACGCTGGGCTTCAGTGAAGTTGTTGAGAAATGTGGGTTTGAATGATCTGGGCGTTAATGGATGGATGGGCTCTTTAACAATGCAAAGGAGAATTTTTTGTATATGATGATTTTGGAAGTGACGTTTGCAGACAAACTGCAATCTGTTGTACTGTGTTTGCTGCTGTGAACAAAAATACTGCTCTTTTCTTTTAAAGTATTTACTGTTTCATTTCATTTTGTATTGATCTAGTTTTTTGTTCAATTTTTACTACTCACTTTTTTCACTAGGAGCTGTTTTTTTTAACAGCTTCACTCAGTCTTATTTAAGTCCCAGAAGATGTCTACCACAAGAGTAAAGGCTAACTAGAGCAGTGATTCTCAAAGTAGAGATTGTCAAGCCCCACCTGTCCCAAACAAACATCTATCCATTGTCCCAGTCAGTTTTCTATTGCCACATAAGGGTCTTCTGCTGAGAAAAGAGAAGAGAAAGGGAGGTGGGAAACCTGTTCGGCCTCCTAGCCTCGTCTCTTATTCTGCTTGGATCCATCTAATCTATGCTAGTCATAAATACATTATCTGAAGTGCGTTCAGATTTTACTGGTATGATGAACTATTTGTGCCTTATTATATTTATATTTAATATGTCTTTGGATGTGGTGCTTTGGCCCAGAGGCAATGTCCCTGTCATTGGTGTGGAACCCCAGGGTTCACCTCCTGGGCAAGATTAAATCCCTGTTAGGGCGGTTGGCGCCGATTTGGGTGGCGGTCATAGAGACTGCTGCCTCTGATAAGCAGATGAAAATGGATGGATAGATGGATGTCTGGATGATTTTCATTTTTAAATGTATTTTTCTTATTTTTTAATTCAGTCCCTTGTGGTGTATGCCTGCATATGTGAGTTTTATTGCTATTGTGTCAAATGGTTGTTAGTCCAACAGCTAAAACATTTCCTCTGGATGGAGAATGAAAGGGGTGGAACAGTTTGAGACGGGGCTCTGCCCCTGCAGCCAAGTAGGAAAGGACCGCCTCTGAGCAAGTGTATCGTGTCTCGTCCATCTGCTGCCATCGTTTCCACTCATCGGAAACAATAACTCCCATCTGTTCGTTTCAAACTCTGACAATTCTTGTACCATCGGTGTTTCCAGTCCAGATTCCGTGTTTATTGCGACGCTCATTTACCAACACGTGGACACAAAGTGGTTTAAATACTTTTATTTATTCATTCATTCCCTGTGTATTTGTGTCGTGCGCTCAGCTCCACTCTGACGGTGAGCAGCAGCGCAGCAGGAGGCTGTCAGTCCTCCCCGTCCCTCCCATTGGCTGCAGCAGGATGCTCCGCGTTTGCAGCTCATTTCTTGAACCGCGAATGCAGCCGCTGGAGCAGACGCAGGTTCACAAAGGATCCGAGGAGAGGCTGAGGAGATCTTCACCTGTAGATATTTGATCCACTGACTGCGCGTCTGCTGTAAACCACACCAGCGCTGCTCCAGTCTCGGCTCAGCTCCCCGGAATAAAGCACAGTTCCTCAGTCGCTGGAATTAACTTCCACATTCCTCCCCTTCTCCTCTTCTTTGCGGGCGGCTCTCGCCCCCTGCTCGGGTGTTGGGGGATAGCGCAGGCTCGCCGGCTGTGTGTGTGCAGGGATGTCGGCATGGCTTGCACTAGGAGAACCAAAACTTTGGTGTCCACATGCGTGATCCTGAGCGGCATGACCAACATCGTTTGCCTGCTCTACGTGGGATGGGTTACAAACTACATCGCCAACATGTACATCAACGTGCCCATGCCTTTACCGGAGCGAAAGTTAGAGGCGGAGAAGAAAGGAGACACGCTCCGAATCATCGAGAGACTCGACCGGCTGGAGAGTGTGGTCAACCAACACATACAAGGTAAGAACCTGCGTCTGTGCGTGTGATTGTCCTCCACCTGTGAGGTTCATTACACTGTGAAAGTTTCTGCAGACTCTGGACGGTGACTGTGAATGGACCAGGTGTGTGTGGACCAGGTGCTGCAGCCGTGTGTGTGTTTATGAACAGAAACTCGTTCTAAAGGTCAGCTCATTTAAAAAGATGGTGGAGAGAAAAACTACACTTCCTACTTGAATTACACGGAGAGAGAGAGAGAGAGAGAGAGAGAGAGAGAGAGGCTGCGTTCAACACAGGACTCTAATGTTAGTCTTCTAGAGATCATGTAATGAAGTTTTTAATTTATTGTTTTTTATATTTTGCACATAACATTATCAACATGCAAGTCTTATTTTGAAATCTAAATGATCTACTCCGAATTCACCATTAGATATTGTCCTATAATAAATAGCTTCCCTGGGAACTGACATTTTTATTGTTGAAACTAAGCTGTCAGGGTCTGAGGTGTCATTTGTGTTAACAAAACAAAACAAAAAGACAAGTTCATTAGTACAAAGCAGAGAAACACAGTTATTAAAACAAATATTTGGTCATTTATTTGTTCAGTTATAATGTGTTGGTACTTTTTGGTCTGTCACTTTTGGTCTGTTGCGATCTTCATACAGAAATTGGTTGTATATTAAACTAAAAACAACAGATCCACAGTAAAAAAAAAAACACATTTATTTTAAACTGAATCTTAGCTGGATGGCATTATGGGAAAAGACCAATATTTGTAGATTTGGAAATAAGCCACTAAAACCTGATGGTCAGTTGTCCAGACCAGTGGTTTATTTATGGTAGGAACCCAGAATTAGAATACATCCAATTTGACCTCATCTGGAAAACACCGTAATGTAGTGTGTAAAGTGGATTTATTCTGAAGTAGATGAGCTACGTTTCACAGATCCACAGTAGTGTACACTGTACACAGTGTACACTGTACACTGTGACAGTACTGTAGTAGAAAACCCATAAGTACAGAGCTGTTTCAATCATCTGGTTTGTCTTCATATGCTAATAGATACATATGAGCTAATAAATCCAAGTCACCGACATGAAATACTCTCTTTCTCCTTTTATCCTAATCATATTGATATTGGAAAATGATAATGTTGGATTTGAAGTCACTGACATCCGCTGTGGATTTCTTTTGCGTCCTTTCGAAACAGTCAGCCAGAAATGTCACTGGTAAAGAGAGTCCTTCAGGAGGGAACTGCAAGGTGTTTGGAGTCTCCTTTTCCTTCACTCTGATGACGTTGTTTTAATGAGTAATAGCTTTGAAAATGTTATTTAATAAAAATGCACTTCCGTGAGTGTAATTTTTAGAAGGTCCTAAGTTAGTGTCTCTGGATGTCTGTTTAAAGACTCCAATAGTGGAGACAGTTGTGATCCAGACTAATACAAGAAACCCTTCAGGGACTCTGTCAAAATTGCACTATATCAAATATTAAAGTGAAATTTACTTCCTCTAAATGTCAAATTTGCCATCACCCCATAAACTGAATCGATTTTTTTTAATTCGATTTTTAATCTCAGTAGATAAAAATACATAAATATGTCCAGTAAAAAGAATTAATGGAACTTCCATTATTTCCATTTAAAGGGACAGGTTGCATTAAATGGAACTGGTTTTCTAACCAATTATGACATCATTACCCAACAGTACATAAAGGAAAGTGAGTTTTCCTTAATGAGTTAAAATCCTGACTCTGCCTTATAGACTTATTCCTGTGCAGGTCTGAGGCTGGAGCAAACAAAAACTGTTAAAAAAAAGCATAAATTATGTGTTTTTCTGTAGAAAACACGTTCATCCAATCTTGTTTTGTAATTCACCTGAAAAGGCGGCCTGAAGGAGAACGTTTATCCTCGCTGAGAGCTGTAATCCAAGGAAGTGATATAGATGCTGCTGCTGCTGCTGCAGCAGCTCATGTTTCACACTCCCCTTTAAATAGTACACACAAACTCACACACATACATAAATGTGTGTATGTGTGCAACAAACTGTTTACACGTAGAGGTCTTAGCACCTCATTTCGCTCGAGTAATTTACAAAATCCGTGGGATCTTTTTCTCTCGTTCCTTCAATCTTTCCTTCTGCAGCTTGGTTATTGCTGGACACACACAGATAATTGGTCTGTGTGTCTTTAAAAGAACTATTCTTGACATCACGGGGTCCTTCGTTTGAGGCAGGTCCCAAATTTTCAAATTGAACACGGCCGGAGCAAGGCAGAAAAAGCACTGACGCGTCTTTGAGAGAAAAGAGTGTGTGTTCAGCCGGGGTAAACATTCCTCCTGGAGGCAGGTTCGATTTCACCTTGGCACTCGGATGTCTCTGGGGGGCGGAGCCATGTTCAGATGCCTGGTTCAGTCCCAGGTGATACCAAACGTTAGCAGTCAGTGTTTAAGAACTGCTGTTTGGTCTTTCAACTGATTCATTAACTGATTTTAATCTTAGTTAGTGAAAAAGATTAATTTAAGACAATGAAAGTGGGGAAAAACATCACAGCTGACAGCAAAAAAGAAAAGAAGGAAGCGCCAAACTCTGGTACTTGTTAAGAACAGCTTTGAAGCAGCGAACAAGCTGCAGCAGTTGAGGAAACAGGTGCCCACGCTCTAGACGAGGTGTAGCTATTATTTAAACAAGTGCAGTGGTAAATTAAACGTGACACAGATTGTAAGCACTAATATGACGGAGACATTTTTGTTTATTCTCTCTGAGCAGTAGTTCAGACGGCAGGTAAAGAGTGAAGATATGAGCCATCAGATCTGTGTTAAAGAACAAAAGAAATGTCCAAAGAATAACAGAGAGCCATTTGATCATTTAATAATCATAGTTTGTTTGGTTTGGGTTTTAGAAATGACTGTTAACAGTGGCCCTGATCGGGCCACTGTTGTCGAACACTATTTTAACCACAGTATGTTTGTTTTAACTTCAGAGTTTCTGGTGTTGGCTTTGTCACACCAACTACAGAACCAGAACTGAAACCAAATAGTTCTGAAACATGCGTGTTTTTTTAGCTATTAGCTGGTGAGCACTGTAGTCTGTGATTGGGAGATTATTGCATGACTTTAACAAGAATGATATGATTGACACTTGACACAAAAAGCTTAGAAACACAATTTCAGAGATGCAGGAGCTAAACAGGTTCAAGAATCGGTTTTAGATATTTTAGCTATTTTTTGGTAATGGACTCAAATAATCAAAAACTATTAGGAAACAGAATATTTAGAGTATGTATTTTTTATATTTTTAAGGCTTGAATGACAAAATCCACATAGTTTACACCTTAGCTGGTGAAAACGTATGTATATGTTTATAAATAAAAGGATATATATTTTACAAATACATTGAAACTTATCATGCAAACACACATTTCCACATCTAAGGTCAGGTTTTTTTATTCAAGCTCAAACACATTTTTAGCCAGTATGATGACTGGATGCTTTGGCTGTTGCTGCTCATTTCACTTTGGGGACCTGTCTTCAAGCCCAGGACAGAAAATGCGAGGACATGACAGAGATCACATTAATACCAGCAGTGAGTCCCTGTGCTTGTCATTTCTACAGTTTTGGAGCGCAGCGCTGTCGTTCTGGCTAATGCTAGAAGACACTTTGGATGTCGTACCCATGCACATTTGCCAAAATAACAACTGTTCCAATGGAAAGACCTGTCAGTTCACATATAAATCATGCCGTCTGGATTACTCTGATAATTGCTCAAAAATAAATGTGCTACACATAAACCTCCTCCCAGACTGAGTCATCTGTGAGAGTCATCTGTGATGGCACAGCATTTGGACAGAACAGGGAGCCATTAGTGCACGTTGAACTTGAAGTAAATAATTTTACCACAAGTCACACATAAATCATTGAAAAGAAGAAATATACCCACATAGTTGTATACATTTTGTAACATTGTCATTTATTCATAACATTTCAACAACACTAATAAAATATTACTCCATTGTACGTTGGCGTTTTCTCATCCCCTGAAAAGCTCAGAACAGCAGCAGAAAAGTTGCACCAGGCAGCACACAGACGGAGGAGTCAGAGCAACCAACACCCAGTCCTTCAGAAAAGCAGCCGTTTTATGTCACATGGACACTTTTTGAGTGTGGAAAATCTGACCTGACCAGAAAAGTTTACTCTGCAAATTATACTGCAGACTCAAAGAGCGCTGACCTTTTCTTTTACTCCCTGAACAAGACTTATGTCATGAGCTAAACAAAGACACTACAGATTAAAACTGCAAGTGATCAGCTGAGTTTCTAAGGATAATAATGAGTAATGCTGCAAAAATATGTTAAGACAAGGACTAAAGAAAAAACGAGTGGAAAAAATATGTTACAGTCACCTTCGGTGGTAACCTTCAGTGGGAGTCACATGTGACTTGCTCAGTTTGTATGCGTCAGTTTCATATACGACTAAAGTGCTTTTTTTTATTAGGCCTGTAAAATCATCTGTTTCGTTTAAATTTAGCAAACACAGCTATGAACCTGTGGTGAATATTGTTCTATTAATAGACCAGCCAATGGCCATCCTCGGTCTTCTTGGCTTTATTTGCTCTTGAGCAGTGCTTCCTTTGCCACTTGTCTTAAGCTGAGCTTGACAGTTTGGAGACTTTGGAAAGAAAGGTATTTTGGGAATAGTCTTCTGTGAAGTGAGGAAATATATTTTTGGTGTCAAATCACCACCGTGAAAATCCGCCCAAAATTACAACTTGCGTTTAAACAGGTGTGAAATTGAAAAAAAGGTGTGATGGTGTGTTAATTGTGCTTCAGTATTCTCATAAAGCCTCACAGGCAGAAATGTCAGACTACTGTGTGTCGATGTGAGACAGTGTAAGGCAAACTCAGTTTCACCAGCAGTCACATCAGCAATACAGTTCCTGTTGAAGGGCCGGTTGTAAATGGAAGATTGTATAGAACAATCCCCAACCTCCGGTCTGCGGACCAGTACCAGTTCATAGGTCATTTGCTCAC